TCCTGCTGTACAGTTCTTTTCATAGTGTCTGACAAAGCCTATAGCCTAATGCCTGAGCACTCATTTAATACTATTCTAATCAGATGGTGGTTGTGGGTTGTTTGTTGTTTTTTGTAAGTATCTGAGTTAAACTACATAGTGATGTTGGATGTTTCCTTGAGGCCTGGGTTTTTGGTTGTAGTGGTGTTGGGCTAAGGACATAGGCAGGCAAGGTTCTTTGGGTAGATGTGATATCTTTTATTAGACCAACTGAGTAGTTGATGGCCTGAAACACCAGATCCCAACATTTGCTTTAACTTTCTAAGTGCTGATTAAACATTGACACAGCTTCTCTTTTTAGGGACTCCTCTGTTGACAGTATGCCTGAATGATAAGATAATGCTGATTTGTTCATGATTAAGGCACAATTCCTGTCTTTACCACTGCCAATTTGAGTGCAATTGATAAAAGTTTGACACTGCATAGATCTCTCTTAGCAATTTGTCAGTCAGAAATATCATACTCTAATGTTTAGAAACAAGGTTTTCTCTTTTTTCTTTTTCTGGTGATACCGTTTATTGGACCGACTGTGTAGTTGGTAGAGAGATATTGCACAAAGTGCTCTTCAGGTCTGGGGAAGGAGCAAGTGCAACCTAAGTAAATACCAGACAGCTCATGTTAACTCCATATGTTGAAAGAAAACAAGCGTTTAAAGAAGAGCTGTGAACTAGGAGCAGAGAAGTAGCTTCAAAGTAAGATAAGAACAACTGACTTGAGATAAACTAATTATGTAAAAGTACAAGACCACTCAGAAGGGAAAATGTCTTTGTTGGCTTTGAAGCACTGCGAGGTTGAAGGAGAGGCTAGTTAGATTATGACTGAGTCATGAAACAACCATCTCTGTTTAGCCCATGGTGTTTAGTGTCCAATAAAGTTATGATTTTCACTCAGACCATTTGCACTCTCATGTCTAGATAATACTGGAATGCTGCAGTTCCATTTTATGCAGGGAGTATGAAAATTCAGAATGCTTTTAGGTGATACTACAGTTAGGTTAATTGGACCAAAGGCCATGGCCCTCTTGTTTCTTCCACCCTGAAGATCTGGGCTTCTGGTATGAGCCTTCTTGACTTACCTCAGGAGATGGTATCTGATCAAATATCTTGCATCTTTCTCTCTTCCTCCTGTTTAATTCTTTCTCAGGTATTTTCCTCTGTGTTATCAGGCTTCTCTGTGCTGTCCTGTCAGCCTCCTTCAGTCTGTCCTACGTCCTTCGTAATACACCACTGGACTGGCTTTATACACGCTTACATGGTGCATTGCCATTTGTAAAGTAGGGCTGGGTGAAACAGCACTGTTTTGTTTTGACTTCTGTTTTGAAGGGACAGTGTTTCATTTTGCTGTTTCAAAGTCCTGTTCTGTTTTGTTTTGTCAAAACTGTTTCGCTGTTTTGACGCGTTTCGAATTTTGCCCATAGGCTATAATGGGGAATCATGAAAATGCCTATAATTTTGTCATTTCTTGCCTGATTTGGATGAAAATTGCAGGAATGGTAGCCCCTTCTGAAGGCATGAAGCCTGCCACATTTCGAGGAGATAGGTGAAGGGGTTTCTGCAAAACTGCACCTCAAGCTGTTCAAAGCAAAACTCACCACTTGCTGGTAGCGGCAGCCTACTGTCATCCCACAGGCAGATCTGGGGGCTTGTGCCCCTTGGGAGGGCTGCAGGGCTATGCCAGACTCTTCCCAGGGGGTGCAGGGCCCCGGATCTACGCGCAGGATGATGGCAGGCTGCTGCTGCCGGCTGGGGCTAGCGCAAGCACTGCGTTCTTCCCGGCACTTGGCATGGGCTGCGTTGGGCAGACTTGGGTGCTGGTGCTGGCCCCAGCTAGCAGAGGCAGCATGCTATTATCCTGCGCGCAGATCCGGGGACCCGCGCCCACTGGGAGGAGTCTGGCACAGCCCCACATCTGGCCTGGGGAGTGCGGGCCCCCGAATCTGTGCGCAGGATTTCAGCAGGCTGCTGTTGCTGGCTGGGGAAATAGCCCAGAGACGCCGCCATCACCAGCTGGCAGTGGCAGCCTGCTGTCATCCCACATCATCTGGGAGCCCACGCCTGCTAGGAAGAGCTGGGGGAAGTGATCAGAGAGCTGGGAAAAAGATCGGGGAGCTGAGGAATCAAACCAGGAATCCTGGCTCCCAGTTTGATTCCCCAGCCCCTGGTTCAATCCCCCAGCTCTCTGATCATTTCCCCAGCTCTTCCCGGGGGGGTGCAGGCCCCCGGATCTGTGTGCTGGGTTTCAGTAGGCTGCTGCTGCAGTTTCAGCAGCAGCCTGCTGAAACCCCACGCACAGGTTGGGGGCCTGCGCCCCCTGGGAAGAGCTGGGAAAATGATCAGAGAGCTGGGGAATCGAACAGGGAGCTAGATGTCAGTGTGAGAGCAGTCCTTCCCCCCTCTTCTCCCTCCCTGTCCTTAGTTTCAGCCCAGCTTCGAAACTCAAAATGTTTCAGAACATTTCAAGTGCCCTCAGTTAATTTCAAAGCTGTTTTGAAGCCTTTTGTTTCAATTTTGCTGTTTTGAGCTCAAAACACATCAAAACAGCTTTGAAACAAAACACCTGGAGAAATTTTGCACAGCCCTATTGTAGAGTATGATTTTAATAGTATACAACCAGCCACATACTCTCCTTAGGCATGCTCATTATTCTTTTTCAGTTAAAGTCCAACACTTAATGCTATTTTTCACGTATTCCCAGGAGCACATTGTGCCCTCTATTTTGCCTGCAGAACCTCTTAAACTTTGGACTTGATTTAGCTGGTGTGACAAGACTTAAAGTAGCATTTGGCTATGGCCAAACACCAGGTTCTGGATGCTGCAAAGAAGGGAGAAAGTGGCCTGCAACAATCTGAAAGAAACAGATTTATCATGTGCTTCCTTACCGCCTATTTCCAAGTGAGCAATATAATGTAATGTCATAGGGTAATAACACATTTTTATGGTGTGAAGGATGTAAAATTGAGGAGCAGCTATTTCCTGCTGTATTTCCCCTTTTGTATACTTTGTCCAGATTTAAGTAGTTAGTAATCCAGCCCCAGACAGGAGTAACTCTCCCTTGGATGCCTGTCCAGTTGGCAGCAGTCCTAGAAAGAGTTTAATTTTCACCAGGGGCCTAAGGTTTAATTTTTCTCTTGCAGAAACAAGACTTTCTCATGATGCAAATAGGAGTTACGTTGGACTCTGTAGAATATTGTGATGGGGCACTCCTTAGACATGCTCATATATCCATGGTGTTGGGCTCTGAATGGTTTCAAGCTGAATGGTATTCTGCACTGGTCCGGTCCTGCAGGGAGCATAGCAGGAAAGCCAAAGGTTGCAACTGAACTCCAACTAGCTTTGAGCATCAAGGACAATAAAAAGTCCTTCTTCAGATATGTGGGGAGCTGGAGGAAGAACAGAGGCAACATTGGACCCCTGCTGA